ATATGTGTATTGAGCACTCTTCAATGGGATCATCTACTTCCTCATATGATTAAATTGATAGTTATTCAGTGTTCAAGAAGTGCAAGCCAGCTGGTCTTTCTAGAGGCCGTAGAGATCCCCCTGCCGCAAAAGACGCACAATATTTTCACCCCCCTAAAAATAACAACTAAAAATGTTTGTTGACATAATTGAACGCGATTAAATGAGTGAGTTGATTAACGTTATTGTTATCTTCATGTATTATGCTGATTATCGTAAAGGGATACAGGATGATCTGGTGGTGGCCCGAAAACCTTTGAGACATCAGAAAGATAATCTTTGTTTATTAACCCCGATTGCAGTTAACACTGAATTGCCGGGAGGGTCAACTAATTACGATATGATACATACATAATAGAATCCCTGCGTTTTACCCCTAAAAGGTACCACGATTATCCCAACCCATTTATATATGGAAGTACTCCCCGGAGACTTTGCGAAAACCATTCAAGTAATCGCAAACAATTTGTTTCAATTAATGATGATTTACATCAATGAGTGCACAGAGCACTAACAATAATAAGTTGTACAAATRATGAGTGGGTRGCCTTGTTCCGAGGCTCGATTTGCTCGTACATTTACAAAATCTATCATCATTTCCCTTCCTGCCTGTTAGGAAAGCTACATACGCCTATATACGCTATCACATCACATCACATCACATCACATCACATCACATCACATCACATCACATCACATCACATCACATCACATCACATCACATTAAATTGCATTAAAAATATTGCCATTTTCTTATATGTGATTTTAATCATGCAATGAACTAATCAATGATCCACCTTCTGTTCTGCTTGTAAAGAAGTTCCACTCTATTGACTTAAACTAAGTACCAACTAAGTATTGATTAGTTTATTAAGTCAAGTTTTTGTGCATTTGTCACATCTTCAAGGGCGAATTGGAAAAATACAAAATTGTATTTGTTTGCGTGAAGATGTGTCAAATGCACCAAAGCTTGGATTAATAAACCAATCAATACGGGTTTGAATTTTAGTTTAAGTCAATAGAGTGCAACTTATTTATACTTGGTTCCATCCTAATGCATACATAGGATATTTATGGCAAAGTTTTGTTTGTTCCAGCTTCATTCAAATACAGCGACATCAGAAGTTCACTTGAAGCTGAGAGCAAAGTGCAAATTCTCCTGTTAAGGTTAGTTTCCCATCTGACTTTTGTCTAATTCATTACAGGGTAGTGATAAAAGTTAAGTGTTTTCCAGCGGTTAATAACTGCTAATRACTCACCCGGCTAATGTGGTCCGAATACCTAATTGAATAAGGAAATCGACATCCAAAAATATTAAAGATCGATTAAAAATCGATGTTGCTCACACATCATGTTGAACACCAAAAAGATACGAGGTCTTTATGATAATAATAATTATCTTGTTWTATTTCACCCCGATTGCAGTTAACACTAAATTGCCGGGAGGGTCAACTAATTACAATGATACATACATAATAAAGTCCCTGCGTTTTACCCCTAGCCTAAAAGGTACCACYGATTATCCCTACCCATTTATATATGGAAGTACCCCCGGGGCCTTTGCAGAGTATTACGAAAACCATTCCAGTAATCGCAAACAATTTGTTCCAATTAATTACAATTGCGAAGGCACATTACACCTACCGATTTCAAATGAGTGCGAACTCTCGAATTTTTTTCGGACGCTAAACTTTCACTCGACCGTCATTCACTCGACCACTTGGTAACCTGGCACAGCTTGAAGCGGGTAAAATTATCCAAGTATAAAAACCATGGTTAATGTATGTCTGTGGGCTAAGTTCCTACGGTTTGTGATCGCACTACAAAACGAACTTATTGTAAAAACTAGTTTCGGTTTACTTAACTTTCTCAGCTCACAATTACAACGAAACAGTTGAAAAATAAATAGCGTGACAAACACTGACAAGCGCGGGCACTTTAAATCGCTTTTAGTGTTCGTAGGCTGTTCTTTGTTGATTAAAATGATTAAAATGAAGAGGTTATCGGACGATATTCGGTGGAAGGCTATTTACCATGAACTTATTTACGGTTCAAGCATTAAGGAAACTTGTAGAGCGTTATTTGTAGGGAAAACCTTTGTTTGTAAAATTCGACAACTTTATAAACGTTCAGGAAATGTTGCTGTACATACACATGTAAGTGTCATTGTAAACTTGTATTCAATCAATCAGGGTTTTTACAGTAATACGAATAAGAATATATTTACTTCTTCGAAAGAAGGTTACATTTAAACATAAGCTACTTCGTTTTCAACCTTTAATTTAAACAACAATGTTGCAATTATTTTTTCGCTTGCTTGATAATTTTTTTATTGTAAACTTAAATTGTTTACATAACGAAAGAAAAGAAAAATGTGTATTTTAGTTCAACATAAGAATATCTTTTCAAGATGCAGAAAACAACACCCTCAAGTTCATGGTTCTTGCAAAGCTATACCTAATTGTGCAAAGTATTATTTGCATGCATTTGATGTTTACAAGTTAATAAAGCCAAATTTAAACTACAAATCAGATAGAAAATTATATTTTTTAATCAAGTTTAGTTGATATTCTTCTAATTGTTCTCAATTGCATTGAGTGAAGTAGAATGTTCTG